GAAATCCTAGAGAAAATACTCAGAGACATAGAAAATGCCTATTCATGGGAATACCCGAAGAAAACAGTCAAGACTGAAACAAAAGAACTCCTGGAGGGAGACCTATGTAAACAAACAAACAAACTGATGCATCTGGCTATGTGAAAAACAGAATGAAAATCAGGGTATTTTTTTCATATCTATCATCGTATTTGGAGAAAATTTTGCATCTGTTTTATACTAGTACATAGAAAACTAAGCAAATAAAAGAACAAGGTAATAGCGCTAGGTGCCGTGGCTCATGCCTGCAATCCCAGCACTTTAGGAGGCTGAGGCAGGCGGAACACGAGGTCAAGAGTTTGAGAACAGCCTGGCCAAGATGGTGAAACCCCGTCTCAGTTACTAAGAATACAAAAATTAGCCGGGCATTGTGGCACGTACCTGTAATTCCAGCTACTCAAGAGGCTGAGGCAGAAGAATTGCTTGAACTCTGAAGGTAAAGGTTGCATGAGCTGAAATAGAGCCACTGCACTCTAGCCTGGGCTACAGAGCAAGACTCCTTCTCAGAAAATAATAATAATGAGGTAATAATAAAGAAAAACAAAATTTATATAAAAAGAAACTATTTTAGTACTCTACCTACCTAATAGGGAAGAATATTTACATAGACATTATAATACAAATGTGAAATATTTATTTAACAAACATGGTGATATTAAATTGATAATATCAATTATTACATGGATAAATTGGAATAAAAGGATTATAAGGTATGGAAGAGAAGTAGGGAAGACAGAAAAATCCTCATCTGCTATAATATAGAGGCAAGAGATTATATCTAAAATAGATAGAGTATAGACATAATATTTATAAATATGAAGATAAATTCAGAAGAGAAAGCTAAGAAACAGTACTGGGACATGAGTAAAGTTATAGCTTGGGACTACGTTTTTTCTTGGTAAGCCTCATAGTACTATTTAACCTTTTAAACTATGCATTTATGGTTTTAATAAAAATAAATTTTAGATATGCTAAAATTATCACTGATCTCCACTACTATAGTGTTGATAGGAAGCTTCCTAATGTACCTTCTTTGTTGGGTCACAAAACCTACTAATTATCCTTTTATTACTTATAAGACAGAGATCCCAACTGTCTTAGACACTTGTATCAGTTAGCTATTGCTAGGTAACAAACTTCTCCCAAAATTTAGTGTTATAAAGCAATGAGCATCTATTATTGCTCACAAGTCTATGGATCAGCTGGATACTTTTCATTTCATTAAGGCTTACTCATCTATCTGATATTAGTTGTGGGTCAGTTAGGCATCTCTGCTGCTATAGACAAGGTTCTCTCACATGTTTAGAGGTTGCTGGTTCTTTGCTTCTCTAGGATGGTATTGGGTAGAACAACCATGTTGGCTCTCTGCCATATAGTTTGCTATCCTCCAGCATTTTAGGTGGGCTTGTTCACATGGCATCTTTCCAAGGTTCCAACATAGTGAAAAAGGGCTCAAAGACTCTTGAGTCTTGGCTCAAATTGGCAGTCCATTACTTCTGTCTCACTGTGTCAGTTAGTGCAATTAGTAGGAAAACCCAGATTCAAGGAATAAGGGAATAGATTCCATCTGTTTATGAGCAGAGCTGTAGTCATATTGAAATGGGTGTGGATATGGGAAGGAACAGAAAATTGTGACCATCGTTGTAGTTAGTCTCTTTCACCACTCAAAGAAAGTCCCACTTCCCTTCCTAAATAAGTTTTCCCAAGTTCATATACATACATGCCTCTATGTCCTTACTTTGCCCAAAAGGCTTTTCCTACCTTCTACATGACATTCAAAAATCCTTCCATCCATGTAGACTATAGGTCAAGTTTCTTCTCTCCTTCTAAGCCTTTCCTGGCCTTTCTAAGCCTTTTGTGATCTCCTATATTGTCAATATCATTCATTTGCCATTTGATAATTTATTGTTACCGTGGTGATATCTTAGCCTTGAACTAGGCTATACCTTCCTTGACGACAGGAATTGTGTCTTATGATGTTTTGAAAAATACTACCATCTGCCCAGAAGACTGTCCATAAAGAAGGAATGACTGAGTGGACAATCAGACTACCTCCTCTAACTTGGGACAGTCTGTCTGCCTATATAAAGCTGGATGGGCAGAGAATTGGAGGCTATAAAAAAAATGCAACAGAGATTTGGGGAAATGAAACTGATCTGTATCCTGATTATGGTTATGGTAACACAAATATACATGTCAAGATTTATCGAACTGCATACCAAAGGAAAAAAAAAAGTAAATTTTACTCTATCATGATGAAAAAAAAAGCCTCTTAACTCTATAAAATCGTAACTCCAGGGTATGTAAATTGAGCAATTTCCTGGAATCCAAAAAATAAATAAGTAAACAGAACACAGAAGAAAGGAAGCAAGCTATTTCCTATTTTATCCTCAAAAAATACAAACCACTACATACAGAGTCACTGAATCTCCTTATGAACTAAAATAATGGATGCTGCTTAATCCTCTTGTGCTGAAATCTTCCTGTCTGTGTCTATTATATTGGAAAATGCCCTTGCCCTGGCTGGACTTACCTCTGTTTGGGCTATGTGGAAAGAAGGCTGACTGGAAGGTGTACTGAGAGACCCCACTTCTCCCCAGCATTAGGGAAGAGATGTCAAGAGCCTTTCCCACCCCTCTTATATTCCTTTCCTGCTGCATGAGTATCTTGGCCTAAGGCACACTGGACAATCTCACAGGAGCCAGATATTAGGCATCCAACATCCTTTTATTAATTATTATGAGGAGTTGAGTGCCAATATTCAGGGAAATTGGCCCACTGGCTTCCCTTCAGGACAAAGAGAACCTATTACCATGTCTCCCAGACACCCCTGCCAATCTGCTTTTGAAACCTCCTCTCTCGCCCATCTGTATTTGATCTGCAATATATTTTGTTATTCATTTTCTGGTAAAATATTTTAAAGCTTAGATATTTGTCGTTTAGGTGTTCCTTTGTGAGTTTCATTAATTCCTCCTATAAAGATACCGTATTTTCTATAATGAGAAATTTGTTCCTGGATTGTGTGGTCACCATCAAAGCTCCTGACAATCTTTCTTTTCCAACGTAAATGCAATCTGTCAACTGCTGAATGGTTTAAGATTCTTATGACTAGTAACAAGACCATCCAAATCATTTGCACTCCATAAAATTAGCATTCTCCATAGCCCTGGTCAGTCTGGAGAGTTAGCCCTATCTCACGTCTTCTTTTTCTCTATTGCCCCAGAATTTAAAAGAGACACTGTCAGTTTAGTTTAACCCTACATTGGGAGGTATCTAAAAATAGTTGTTGTAAAAATCTGATGATAGTTAAAATGTTTTCAAAGTTTAAAATGTTGTACATGTCTTTGATTCCTGTGTTGAGACAAATTATTATTTTGACAGCAAAAAATCAATTCATATTGTTAAAAAAAAAAGAAGAGAGGAGATGGATAGCAAATTAATTGTGCTGGTTATTTGAGTTGCCCACGCTGAAGATACATATCAAACAAAACAAAATTAGTAGAAACCTGAAGACAGAACAGACGGTAACTTCAGCTGTGAAGCTGTTGATCCTTATCTCTCCTGTCAAATTCTGGGCAAGAAAAGCACATAGATAGTCCATGTAGCCCTGGGCACCTTTATGCTTTCTGAAAGATAACCATGGTGTGTAACAATTGTGTACACATACGACCTCTGAATATTACACAATACCACCTGGTAAACTCCCTGTAATTCCTTAGCATTTTATTGGCCTCTTTGTATCCTCGTCTTTTCATCTCTCTCCCTGACCCATCAGTAGTCTATTAGAGCAGAATATTTCAGCATGGTGTGTCTGTGTTCCCAGCTAGATGGAGAAAATTTATGTCAACCATACAAGGATTTTTAAACAAAGTGAATAAAGCATCATCTCAAGATTTTTCACTTGCATGAACTTATTCCAAGGCTCTATTTCTAATTTTGCATTTATATTATTTTTCTTAAAATTCTTCCTCCCCTAAATTGTGCGAGATCCAGATCCCACAAAGTCCACATATGCCCCTGGTCTCTATTCACCCCTGGACCCTTTCTTACCCAATACTCCATTAAAAACTGAAATATGATCAAAGAAGTACCAAACTTGCTTGGCTTTGAGTCTGTCTATCAAATGGACAATTCATCAAACCGTTTTTAAAGGTATCTATATTATTTCATTTTCATGCTCCTGATAAACACATACCCAAGACTGGACAATGTACAAAAGGAAGAGGTTTATTGGACTTACAGTTCCACATGACTAGGACGGCCTCACAATCATGGCAGAAGGTGAAAGGCACATCTCACGTGGTGGCAGACAAGAGAAGCGGGAGCTTGTGCAAGGATACTCCCATTTTAAAAACCATCAGATCCTGTGCGGCTCATTTGCTATGACAAGAACAGTGCAGGAAAGATCCATGCCAATAATTCAATCACCTCCTACCCAGTTCCTCCCATGACATGTGGGAACTGTGGGAGTTATAATTCAAGATAAGACTTGGGTAGGGACACAGCCAAACCATATCATTCTACCTCTGGCCACTCCAAATCTCATGTCCTCACATTTCAAAACCAATCATGCCTTCCTAACAGTCCGTGAAAGTCTTAATTCACTTCAGCATTAGCTCAAATGTCCACAGTCCAAAGTCTCATTGGAGACGAAGCAAGTCCCTTTCACCTATGAGCCTGTAAAATCAAAAGCAAGTTAGTTACTTCCTAGATACAGTGCGGGTACAGGCAATGGGTAAACACAGTTCTTCCAAATGGGATAAATTGGCCAAAACAAGGAGCTACAGCCCCTATGCAAGTCCAAAATCCAGTCAGGCAGTCAAATCTTACAGTTCCAAAATGATCTCTTTTAATTCCATGTCTCACATCTGGGTCATGCTGATGCAAGAGGTGGGTTCCCATGGTCTTGGGTAACTCCAACCCCATGGCTTTGCAGGGTATAGCCTCCCTGCTGGCTGCTTTAGTGGGCTGGCATTGAGTGTCTGTGGCTTTTCCAGGTGCACAGTGCAAGCTGTAAGTGGATCCACCATTCTGGGATCTGGAGAACGGTGGTCCTTTTCTCACAGCTCCACTTGATGGTGCCCTAGAAGGGAGTCTGTGTGGGGGCTCCAACCTCACATTTCCCTTCGGCACTGCCCTAGCAGAGGCTCTCTATTAGGGTCCCGCCCCTGCAGCAAATTTCTGCCTGGCCATCCAGGCACTTTCATACGTCTTCTGAAATCTAGGCAGAGGTTCCCAAACCTCAATTATTGTGTACTCACAGGCTCAATACTACATGGAAGCTGCCAACGCTTGAGGCTTGCACCCTCTGAAGCTATGGCCCAAGCTCTACTTTGGCCCCTTTCAGTCATGGCTAGAGCAGCTGGGATGCAGAACACCAAGTTCCAAGACTGTACAAAGCAACAAGATCGTGGGCCTAACCCACAAAACCACGTTTTCCTCCTAGGCCTCTGGGCCTGTGATGGGAGGGGCTGCTGTGAAGACCTCTGACATACCCTGGAGACATTTTCCCCACTGTCTTGGGGATTAACATTTAGCTCTTCATGACTTAATCAAATTTCTTTAACCATCTTAAATTTTGCCTCAGAAAATGGGATTTTCTTTTCTATCATGTTGTCAGGCTGCAAAATTTCCAAACTTTTATGCTCTATTTCTCTTATAAAATGGAATGCCTTTAACAGCACCCAAGTAACTTTTTGAATGCTTTGCTGCTTAGAAATTTCTTCTACCAGTTACCCTAAATCATTTCTCTCAAGTTTTAAGTTCCACGACTCTTTAGGGCAGGGGCAAAATTCTGCCAGGTTCTTTGCTAAAACATAACAAAGTCACGACTACTCCAGTTACCAAGTTCCTCATCTCCATCTGAGACCACTTTAGCCTGGATTTCATTGTCCATATCATTACCAGCATTTTGGTCAAAGCCATTCAACAAGTCTGTAGGCAGTTCCAAAGTTTCCCACATTTTTCTGTCTTCTTCTGAGCCCTCCAAGCTGTTCCAACCTCTGCCTGTTACCCAGTTCCAAAGTCAAGTCTACATTTTTGGATATCTTTTCAACAGTGTCCTACTCTACTGGTACCAATTTACTGTATTTGTCCATTTTCCCATGGCTAATAAAGACATACCTGAGACAGGGCAATTTACAAAAGAGGTTTGCTGGACTTACAGTTTCACATGGCTGGGGAGGCCTCACAATCATGGCAGAAGGTAAAAGATACATCTCACATGGTGGCAGATAAGAGGAGAGAGAGATCATGCAGAGGGAAACTCCTGTTTTTAAAACCATCAGACCTCATGAGACTCATTCACTATTAGAACAGCTCAGGAAAGACCCACTCCCATAATTCAATCACTTCCCACCAGTTTCCTCCCACAACATGTGGGAATTGTGAGAGTTAATAATTCAAGATGAGAATTGGGTGGGAACACAGCCGAACCACATCAGCATCTTTTCTTTCTTCCTGAGTTCTTTCATGTTTATATGTGACATCATGTTTTCATATTAACTGAAAAAATTTTACTCCTTTTGCTTCTCCCTGTCACTTCATCATCTTCAATGTAGAAAGTTAGGTCATGCCAGTGAGCAGCTGTTAGCCTTCCACCATGAAGCAAGAGACTGTCAGTCTCCAAATGGAAGACTAAAAATGCAGGGAGGCTAAATTTAAGATAAATACTTTTGCAGCCCCCAAATAGATGGACACTTTCTGCAATGTCTTGTGGCTTTTCTGTTTTCTTAGTACTGAGGTTTCAAAGTCATTGGTAATGAACATAAGGCACTCATCTTAAGATTAGTCTTTCTGCTCAGTAGAGAAGGAACTGTATGACTAGTTTTGTGATGACTTTTTTGAGACAGTCTCACTCTACTGCCCAGGCTGAAGTGCAGTGGAGTGATCTCTGCTCACTGCAACTTCCCCCTCCCAGATCCAAGTGATTTTCATGCCTCAGCCTCCCGACTAGCAGAGACTACAGGCATATACTACCACACACAGCTAATTTTTATATTTTTGGTAGAGACTGGGTTTCACCATGTTGGCCAGGCTAGTCTCGAACTCTTGGTCTAATGTGAGCTGCTCACCTCGGCCTCCCAACATGCTGGGATTACAGGCATGAGCCATCTAGTTTTGTGATGACTTTTTCCAGTATTTAATTAAAAGGTGAGTTTTCATGCACCTGAATGAGTGACCTAGGGGCAGGAAAATAAAATAATAGGGCTGAGAGTCCTGATCCCCACCACTAACTGCCCATCATGGGTTTGATAATCAGAATGACCTTAGCTCAGGGTTAAGCCTGTAAGTTCCTGCATCAGACAGTCTGGGATGGGATAGAGAGTCAAGTAAAGGGAGCACATCCTTAGAGCTGTGTGTAGTTTTTTTCACCAAAGCAGCCCAAGTCCTCTCTTTAGCTTGAAAAACATGAAATCAAATTCCCATCTAATCATCCCCATCTTAAAGCTTTTACTTGGCCTTCTGCTTTTCACTCCAAGCTTTGTTTTAGCAGCTTCAGATACAACCACAGAAGAGTCAGTGATTAGGAGCACAAAAGCACAGAAGTTAGGCCAGGCATTTCTGGGATGATACATCATGTCTTGCTTCTCTCATTCATTCCAACCTTGGGTTAACCATTTTAAGCTTTAGTTTCCTTATGTATAGAATGAGGCTAGAATTTGTGTTGTTAGAAACTAAATGAGATGTCTGTAAAGTCCTTAGAAAATATAAGCACTCAATAAATATTAGCTTTTTTTCATGCCATAATTATCTTTCTGGAGTGTCCTAAACTAAGTGAATCATCAGGTATTTGATAGATAAGAGCCAAGTGATTTAATACCAAAGAGGATGGAAAGACATGCTTATTCCCCACTCACTGTATCTTTTTCCTCGACCAGAAGCCCTGAGATGAATGTGAAGAAGCAGGAAATGGAAAGAGAAGAAAATACATAGAAGATCAAGTGTACTGAAAAAATAAGAATCCTGAAGGTCCAGAATGATCTAGTGACAGAGTATAAATTTCTGATACCATTAGAGGGTCCTTGATCTATCCTTAGTATTCCTTCCAACCTCAGTAGGGTTTCTTCCTCCAGAAGAGTTTGGTGAACCTCAAAGTCTAGAGAGAACAGCAGAGAAAAATGTTAGCAAAGAAAACCAGAGTCTGAAGAGTAAATTATTCTTCTTATTGACAGAAGAGTTCTAGTTAAGTAGTCAAGTTAGATATTAATCCACTTATTCAAACTAGCAGGTTTATGACATTTTAAAAGTAGAGATTATTAACGTCATAAAAGAAAATTGTGAAGCAGCTCATTAAATGCAACATAAGTACCACAAGCTCTCATGGCTAGAAAGCAATTTAAAGACCATTCAGTTCAATCCCAATGTCAGATGATGTAACTCAAGTTCAGAAAGGCCAAATGACTTGCTCATGGTCACACTGCAAGTTTGGCCAGATAGACAGTCTAAAATCAGCTGGGATAGACAAACAATTGCCTTGGCTTTTAACTAACTAACCCAAAGCTGATCAGTCAAATTGGTTTATAAATATAAATACAGGTTAAGAAATGCCCATATGTAAACAGAAAAAAAAAATAAAAAGATTTGATTTACATTTACACTGCTTTTTCTTTAAAGGATACTATTTATAAAGATTTGTTGATTCACAAGCCACAAGCCTTAAGAGAAGATAGTTTCACTTGTATACTTTTTCCTCCTCAACTTTTTTTTTATTTTAACATGGGCAAATAATGTGATAGAATAAAGATTATTAATGTCTTACTATTCTCAGACCTCAATTTCCCCTTCCCTATCCATCAAAGGCAGCCTATCTTTCCCCACCAAACCTGCAGTCAGCTCAGAAATAGGATTCTTTCCAACCAGGAGATTTAGCCTATCTAAAAAAACAAACAAACAAAAAACAATGGGATAGGCAGAGGAGGAAGAAGAAATGGGAGGTAAAACCTTAGTGGGTTGGGTGGAGGAGGGTGAATTTTAATCAGGATGCTTGGGAAATGTGTTTTAAACTATGTGTTTCAATCTCCTTCAATACCCTCCAATAGAATTCCTTTCCAATTCCTTTTTTGCTCTTAAACTATGCTTCTTACAAAAGACACTGCCATAAAACTGAACCTCCTGTAGAAACTCTTCTTTTGGGCATCTGGGTTTATAAGGGTTACAAGCAGTGGTGTACTAGAAACAGCTTGTACTGGCTTAGAGAACAAATTCTGTGCATCTCTTCCCAATTCTATTCAGTGATCTCATACTGGTAGTTTGAAATTGGCCATGGTGGGAGTATTTACACCATAGAAATTGGCAAACATTACAAATCGGGTCTTGTTTTTTTTCCCTCCCAGAGAGCTGCTTTACTAGCAAACCACTGGACAAAAAAACACAATGGTAAAATAATCCTCCTCCCAGTTTTCATATTTTGATATTGTTGTTTTGTTTTTGAAACATGATAGTTGTGTTTTCCTTTGGACTCTATTTTATAAAATACTTCTAAAAAGTTCCAAAGTCACACTCCACACACTAGAACCCTGCCAGCTCTTTCATGAACACATGCACAAGTAAAGTCAGGGAGTGGTTGAGGGACTGTTTACTGTTTTATTCAAATCCACCCCCACCGTTAAAATAACAATGCATGCTATAATAATGGATATCATTATTGTAGTATTTGAAAGAGAGCACACTTCTATCCCTTAAATATTTAAATTTATTATTAACAAAATAGCCCTCTCCTAGGAGCCTTGGCACCTATAACATATTTTAAAACAATATTCTTACCTTCTTTTTCTCATTTTTTATTCCTTTGAAAACATTAAGAAAGCTACAGACCCTCTAAGCAGAAAAGTTACAAAGCAAAAGTCCAGTTAACTCCAGGTTAAGAACCCCTGATTGTAGATAAGGGCCTCATTCTCAAGTCATTTGCAGTCTCCTTGGAAAAACATTTTGGGAACTTCTGTTCTGAAATTCCCTTGAAAATCTGTTAAATTTTTGGACATATTCTTAGTAGTGGCATCCTTAACCTCTTGGGGAAGATTAAACTTAAAAGGAAAAAAAAAGCCAAAGGTCATTTGGCACCAAAGCTGATGAATACAGCGTGCAGTGGAACTGAGTATTGCCTTTTTTGGTAAAAACAAATAGGGAGAGGAGCAATAGGGCCCTTTTTCTTTCCGACACATAAACTAGCTCTGTAGGCAATTCCAAGAGAGGATTTCTGGAAAAGATCTGGGCAATACAGCATCATCACAATAAGTGGATATCTTCCATTTCTCTGCCCAATATTTATGGGGCAGATGATAAGGGAAAATCTGGATGCATAAGTTATTAATTTCTACCAATTTAATTAAAAGAAATCAGTATCATTACCATATATATCCTGTTTCCAGTAGTTTATGGGTATCAGACTTTTAACATGTACTGTGTTAAATGTTCTCCATGCTTCAGAGAACCTCTATGAAATATGTAACACTGTTATCTTTAATTTATAAATGAGAAAACTGAGGCTTAGAGTAGTTAAGCAAAGGCAGCTTGGAATTTGAAACCTCAATCTTCCCAACTCTGAATCCTGTGCTCTTAACCACTATTAAGAGCGCTTCTTCCTATCCACACATGAAAATCATATATCACCTTTCATCACTAAATGAAAAGCCACTAGAATGATACAGGTGGGAATCCAAACAGGCATTAAGAAGCCGCAGCCAGCTGTGTGGGTAGTGATGAGAGAGAGTTGCATGGAGAAGGCAAAACTTTGATTCAACTAGATTCCAGTAGAGAAAAGCGGAGTGATTACAAGCAGCAACAATAGCAAGGACAAAGATTTGAAGGTAGGATCAGCAATGTACTTTTGATAAGAGAGGACACAGAGGAACAGAACAGAACAGGCAAAATGATAGCAGGGCAGATAGCTAAACCATTGCAAGGGGAGGTGGCAGCCAAGGGAAGCAGGGCAGCTATTACTAACAAAACAAACATACCAAAACAAAGGCATGTTGCTCATTAAACCCAGGAGGAAGACAAGAAGAGCCTCTAAGGTAGAGGTTCTCGTTCCAAAGATCTACGGGACTTTGAAAAAAATCCCAGAAGCAAGCTCATACATACTATACCCCAGATCAATTCAATTCACATTTCTGGGAATGAAATCCAGGCTCCCGTGTGTTTGGTTCCTTTAAGTTCCCCAGTGATTCTAGCATATATACAGGATTAAGAATCACTGGTCTAACATCTTGGTTAAGGTAGCAGATAGGGAAGAAGTCTGAGTATGTGAAACAAGCTGGCCAGCTGAGAACTAGGCCAAGAAAAGGCGCACAGGCAGAAAGGTAGTGAGGACACAGACACGGACTGGGACCAACAGACCAGATGGGGTAGGAAAGCCATGACATACATAGACTCTGTAAGTAATCAAGAGGTATTTGGGTCCAGATCAACTCCGTTCACACCAAATTGATGGAGAACCACACTAGATATGGAGAGAGTGTAGACACCAGATATGCAGAGAGTATAATTAAAAGTAATAGCTTCTGCTATTTCTTAGCTATGGCACCCTAGGCAAGTTACTTGACCTCTGTGTGCCTCAGTGCTTTCCTCTGTAAAAATGGAATGTTAATCATATCTACCTTCCAGGGATATACATATAATAGGCATAAGAGAAAGACTGAAGTGAAGGTCCTCTAGGAGATTCCAGTCCTAAAACAGGTTGAAAACTGAAGTGAAAAGTACACATTCCTGAGAACCAGGAGATGGCAATAGAAAAGCAGGTTACTGCCAGGTAGTAGGAGAGCTTACTCTTAAGAAAAAAATGTAGTAATAATAGAGAAGGAGAAGCACAACATTTTTGGAAAGCAATGTGGAAAAATATAACAAGAGCCAGAAAGATGTTTGTACCATTTTATCCAGTAATCCTACTCTTGGAATTTATCCTAGAAAAATAAATTAACAGAAGAAAAAGAAACTTCAGTGTATAAAAATCTATAATATTAAAAAATGGAAACAACCAGAACTGCCAAATATAGGTCAATGGCTAAGTAAATTGTGTTTGGAATTTGGGAACTTTGTCTTATTTGTCTTTTAATTTTTTAAAGTTCAACCTTAATTATATAAGAATACTTTAAAAAATTATCATTGTATAAAAAATTTAATGCAATAAAAAGCTAAAATCCTCCTTAACCAATGTTAGTTTTCCATCTAAAAATTGCCACTGTTAAGTTTGGTGTGCACTCTGAGACATTTTTCAAGACAGTTACACAAACACCCACAGATACATTTACATATACATATATGTACACTTACATACACATATCTATAGAGCTATTTTGTTTACTGTATGGTACAAAAATGCTATCTTGGCTGTACTTGTTTTCTGCAATTTGGTTTTTTGTTTGCTTTTTACTAAGTAACGTGCCTTTAAGATTTTCATGTCAGTAGTGATAGTTATAGCTCACTGTTTTTAATTTAAGGATGAATATATCACAGCTTATTTAACCATTCCAAGTATTGGTGAGTATTGATGTAGCTTTCAATTTTCATAATTACAAACATCATTTAGATGAACACTCTTGCTTCTGTCTCCTGATGCACTTTAACAATCGTTTCTTGAGGGCATATAAAGAGTGAAATGGTTGGTTATATAGGGTCTATGCATTTTAAATGTTAATAGTTAAATGGCAGCACTAGCTTACATTTTGCCAGCAGAAGAGGGGAGTACCCAATGTCCCAGGCACTAATCTAAAGTGGATATTATCAAACTTTAATGTTTCCAATCTGTATTTTCCAACTTCTTATTAGAGTAAGCCTCTCCTTTGGCCTCTCCTTTTTGGTGTTTTAACTATTTGACACTTTTGCCAATTTTTCTAATTTATTATCATTTTGGTATCCCTGTAATATAGCATAATCAGTTTTGAGTTAAATGCTGAAATATTTAGTTCATTAAATTATACTTTTAAAATATAATCATAAAAACATATAAAGTATGTATGACATAATGCAGTTAGATTGAAATAAGAATAAATTATTATGTATAACACGAGGAGATATTCATACAATTGAACATAGGCTAGAAGTGTATACTTTAAGAACAATAAAACTAGAAATAGTAGCTAACATTTACATAGTATTTTACATATACTTGCCACTAATCAAAATGTTTGACATGTGTTAATATCTTTATTCTTTATACCAATATTATGAGATTTTTTCGAACTTGCTAAAAATCATTGTATAAATGGCAAAGCCAGAATCTGGTAAGTCTGGGCAATCTGATTCCAGAGTCTTTAGACTCTTAACTATTACATTATACTAATATAGCTGCTGTTCCTGCTACTGCTGCTTCTCCTCCTCCTCCTCCTCCTCTCTCTCCTCACCCCTCTCCCTTCTTTTGCTTCCTCTTTTCTTCTCCTTCCTCCTTCTCCTCCTCTTAATTTTGCTGTGAACCTAAAAAGTTTTTTTTTAATTAAGTCTTTTTTTTTCTTAAGTTGCTTAGTGAGAGCAGAGTTAAGACCAACAGGAATTAGAAGAGCTTAGAGAATATCATAGCAGAATAGTTAGAATGAATCCCAGTACACAAACAGGTATACAAAAAAAATTATTCATTGTGATTTAATTTTTATTTCTATTTCCTGCCAGTCTATTGGGAAATATAGCTTCAGTTATTTTCTCACTTCCCTCTTCTCCATGCTATGCAAAGCTTTGCATGTCAGAATGGGGGTGGGAGGAGCACATTGCCTATCATGCGGTCTTTAATCCTCCATTACCAGGCTACCTAATTTGTCAAAAGGACATCCTCTCTCCCTTTCCAGTATTCTGCCTGCTGCTTCTGTGCTCTTGTGACCCTCCTGGGGCCCAGGCTGCCTGTTATTCTACCTGCCTAGTTGCCTATACAGCCATTCTCTCTGTTGGGCTAGGCCTACCTCCCAGATGGTTCTGTCTGGGATGTGCGGTATACGTCCTCTTGCTCAGAGACACATAGGTCTTCTCACTCTCCCTTCCAAGACCAGGAAAATTGTTCTTCTAGACTGGGGAAAATTCTGATTTCATGGTTGTGGCCAAGACAAGTTTTGTGTCCGAAATTCACTCTTACCTCTGGGACCTAGGCATGTGTACCTATATCCAAGATGACTATTAGGATACTTTCTTCTTTTTATGCTGGCAAGTCTCTCACGAGATAATATGTACAGAGCCAACCATTAGCTTGCGGGTTGGGTGGAAAGCTAGAAATAAAAAAAAAAAAAAATTAATAGATTTTTGCAGATCCAGATAGATTGATAGAGATATGAGAAGTATCTCATGATATACTGCCACATAACCTCATCTAGGCATGAGAATACCCAAGGCACTCTCTCCCTTGGATGTTGTTGGCTCTTAGGTGGGTCTTTTATAGCCAACTGTTCTTTTTCTGAGTTCCCTAACAGCTGTACCAAACCTTTGTCCTTCCACTGTTACTTCTGACAGACATACTGCTTCACTCTTCATCATATTTTCCTTCTGTTGCTATCCCTGAAGATGTCCCATGGACAGCTGGGGCCATCTGCCTGCATATTTGCCAGCATACAACAAAGTGTCAGTTGCTTTCAATGACTCTGAAGATGGGTAGCTGGAATAGATAGCACTACTGGGGGCTTGCTGCCCTGAGAACAGGACTGTCTAGCTTCATTAGCGTGCAATCTATGCAGTCACATGAGGCCATGAGCTTGGTTTAA